GGCGCGTACGGGGCTTGGAGTAGTGGCTGAACAATCAAGTTCCCTAGCAGGAACAGGATGCTTGGCACTGCTTCATCATTCACACAGATTCACAGATTCAAGGAAGCTTCGGGCTGGAAGGGACTTTGCAAGATCATCGGGTCCAGCCCCCCTGGTCTGGGCAGGAAAGACATTTTCTTACCAATGAATCCACTATTAGGGGAAAAAAAGCTTCTCTCTCTCTCTTATCACCTGTATCTTCCTATCCCCACATTTCTCAGGCATGCTGCGCGCAGTGTACACTGCACACAATATACAAATTCCTCTGAACTTTTAAATAGATTGTTTCTGTCTGCGTATATGCAGCCGTCCTACTGGCTGGCCATGCATGCTCATGTTTAGGAAATGGCTTGCTTGGGAATGTTTAAGGAAGCAGCAAACCCCTGGAAAACAGTACAGACTATTAGAACATGAAATCTGTGTTTATCACTAGTGCCCACGCTTGAAACCTCGTACTGGTGGCCTGATCAGTGTGCTCTGATCCGCACGACCATGCAAAGAGCTGGAGGTTCCAGTTCCGACTGTCCAAGAAATACCGCCAGCCCATAGGCTGAAATACATTGATGAAAAACATCCACCAGTTCATTTTTTAGTAACCAAAAAAAAAATCCAATGGATTTGTGATCTGTTCATGGCTGGTCTGCAAGGACCAATGGTTTTTAACCTTTTTAGATTCAAGACACCCCTTGTTAGACTCAAGGCTGCCCTCAGAAAATGCCAGCTCTTAGCTTTTCCTCCGTTTTTGACTGTAGAAGAATAATAGAGCAATTCTTCGGTTGCAAAGAACTTGGAAAGACCACAACAGGTCAGAAAGTTTTTGACATTGTTGATTCCCGTTGGTTTTATCTTGTGAATCGTGGAGGTGTTGGCACACCTGACCGTGCTAATATTGCATGGCATCAGAAGCGTCTGAGGGCAGCCCAGGGTTTGGACTCGCTCGGCCATGGTACCCTGGTTGAGAATCGCTTGCGTAGGCTAAAGCAGGCTAAACCTGATTCGTACACGATTCCATGCAGCTGGACGCCACGCACCCTGACCACGTTCACTTTGCACACTGTACTTGTCATCATCACCCCTTTGTGGCAGTGTATACCTCAGGGACAGGCTCCTGGCGGGTCTGAGGATTCAGGCTAAGGCAGCATCTTTTCAGCTACTTTCCTAGGTAATATGATTACAGGCTCATGGGCATTTTCATCCCAGGCATGGACTGCAAATAGGGATGGGACTTCCTTATGGTACCAAATCACTGCTACTTGCAGTCACTTTTAGCTGATCATCATTCCTTCCTGCCTACAGTCGTCTGTAGAGCCCTAACTCAGATCAGGGACCCTACTGCACTAAGTGCCATGAGAGTCAGTGCCAGTCTCCAAAGAGTTTAAAGTTTAAATAGACATAAAAATGGTGACGGAGGAACTAAAATCACAGCAAAGTTTTCTTTCAGAGCCCACAACAAAGCTGGGAATAAAACCCAAGTCTCCTAAATCCTCATCAGTGCCTGAACCATAAGATGGTGCTTTTTGTCATTCTTCATCTGTCCTTATTTATTTTATTTTTTTATTTTTCTGATTCGGTTCCCACAATACTCTTCATCACTGCTTGCTAACGTCCAGCTTTATTTCACCTCTCGTGTTTCCCTTATCTATTAGATTTGCATTGTTTGTTTAAAGGCAAACAATGAAGTCTGCCAGCCTAGATTAATTTTCCCAACGTGTATAATTCATGGCTCTATTTGCCTCTAGCTATTCTGGTTTGTTTGGGTATTTTCCTCCTCCTCTCCTCATCATTTTTGTTTCTTTAGTTCTCTAGGCTGATTCATTTAACTTAGTAGTGGTGTCATTGCCAGGACCTCCCTTCTTCCTTTTGTCGAAGGCTGAGACATGAGTTGCTTTTCTCAAGCCTTACGGTGTCTCCACTGCTCTTCAGAAGGAAATGCCAGTGTAAACGCATTTCCTGTCCCTTTATCACCTCGAAAACCAACTCATTCAAACAGGTTGGTTTCTGTATGTTCACATTACCTGGTATTCCTTTCCCTCTGCGGCCCCCAACACAGATTTTTCAACCAAGAATACACCTCTCATAAGACACAGCGCCCCACACATTGCTTGTCTGCAGTCACTCACCACTTTCAGTAGACTCTGGAGCAGCGTCTCTAGTCCCCCTCAACCCTGCTGTTAGTTTTGCTGTTAGTTTTGCCACTCCGTGTCTGCTTACTCCCACACTTTATATGCTGAAAACTACACCCTCTCATCAGAACGAGTTACATGTTCATCTCAGCTATTTTACCTGCCCACACGAAGCTTAAAGCAAGAAAACACAGCCCTAACAAGACACCAACCCGTTCTTTGCTGTGGGTCGCTCGCTGCCCTGAATAAAGTGTGCACGTGGCGTTAAGTTCGCAACCTAATTTTCCTTAGCTCTGGGAGGATAAAGTGGGTTGCAGCTAAGCTCCTACTGCCCTGTTATGCCTCTGACTGCGTAGAGTTACAGGAAGTTTTTTTGTTTGTTTTTTTTAATTCACTCCGTTAAAATGACCCATTATCAGAGCATTAATTCTCGGTTTCTACCTTGGATCTTAGGTGGCATAGTTGTGGTCCACTCCTGCACAGCTGAATTTCACTCTGGGCTTCTTATCCAGATGCAACTGCAGTGAATCTCTACATGGCCAGAGGGGTTGTGGAGGTGTGAGGGATTTCACTTGCCCAATCGTTGGATGCATGTGCCCATGCCAGTTGCTCAACAATGAGGAGCTAAGGAATGCTGCTTGAGGAGTCAGTCCTGCTGTTTACAAGGAGGTTTCACTCGTGGATAGTTCTCCCTGTTACACTTCCAGAGGCAGAGATGAGAGCAGCAAAACCTGTAGGACAACTCGTGCTGGCAGCTAGAGCCACCTAAAACAAAAGCTTCCAACTCTTCCAGCCTCACGGGCTGGTTGAGCGGTATGCAGTTGGTCCATGAGCTGGGTGAATGGCATGGGGCCAACGCTGTGCGAAGAAGCCTGGTATTGTGAGTGTTTGATTGACACCTTGGGAACAAGCTGTGGGTCCAGGCTTGTTCTCAGATGCTGCTGCGGCTCCATTGCTGCAGTTCTCACCCAGGCTGCTGTGGAAAGGTCCCGCATCCCAGCCAGGGTCAGAGCAGAGTCTGCGGGCTGGATCTCACCCGTAGGCCACATGTTGGCACCCCGACCTAAAATGTTCCCTAGAAAAGGTGTTGTCCCCCAGTATTACAGAAGGAGTTGCCAATGGCAGAGGTGATGTGAACAATAGAAAATCCTATAGGGATGATTGTGAGAATTGGGAATCTTCAATGTGCAGTTATTATATATTGTCAAGAAAAGGGAATTTTATTTTTGACTTTTCACTCATTTGTAAATGTCCTGAACTGATCCTGCACTGGTTTCCTACATAAACCATCCAAGCACGGCACATGATTTATGCAACTAACACAGGGTGTATGGAATTGACTTAGTACAGCTCTTGTATTGGTTGCTAAATTGGGTTTAGCCTATTGGTTTGACTGTGAAATGAGATTAGAATTTAATTCAAATAGCTTCTGAACCTGGAGATGTCTGAAATCCAAGCCAGGATCAAAATTTGAATTTAGAAAGTTCTTCCTATCTTTATAGTGGGCTAAGCCAAGCCTCCTGATTCTAACAGCTGAAAACATCAGGTTATCAAAATCACACATGCTCAGAATCCTTGTTAAAATTCCCGTTTTGACTCCTCACTGCATGGCATGAACTGAACAGCAGGAAAAATTTTAAATGTTTAAAACCCCCAAATTATACCAGAAATTAAATCAGGCCCGTGAAATATTAAATCACAAATTTGGGGATTAACAGGAGTTAAGAAGTAGGGGTGCGCAAAGTGGGCCCTATTTGATTTGGGTTTGGATTCAGCCTGAATCAGGGACAATGATTCGATTCGTTGATTCGGACCACTGTCTCTGATTTGATTTGGCCAAATCCGAATCTGAAGATTCAATGCAGATTTGGAGAATCAGCTATTTGGACATAGACACTGCTTTAAAAGTTTTTTCTACTTACCTCGAGGTACCCGCGTAGCTTGTGATCATTGCACTGCTGGGGCACATGGAGCGTCCCACATGAATGCGGGGGGCCCTCCATGTACTCAGCGGTGAACCGGAAATACTTCCGGTTCACTTTCGGGTCTGCCTGGGAGCGTGCTGGGTGGCCCCCCCGTGCCTCCCTGGCTCAGTGATCGGCCAAAGGGGGACCCCAGGTGCTCCCCCATACCCAGGAGGCACTAGTCACCAAGCCTGGGGACCGCCGGGGGGGGCCAGCATGCTCACCAGCGGACTCGGAAGTGAACCAGAAGTGCTTCTGGTCTACTTCTGGGTCTGGTGGGGAGCCCCCCACACTCCTGTGGGACACTCCATACACCCCAGCATCACAGCATTCATGAGCCACCTGCTACCTAGAGGTATGTAGAAAAAACATTTAAAGCTGTCTCTATATCCAAATCTCTGAATCTTTCCAAATCTCTCCAAATCAATTCAGAGGGTTCCGATTCGATTCGGAGAGATTAAAGGGTCCTCCGATTCAATTTGGATTCGGAGATTCAGCCACCGAATCAGGCTGAATCTCTGCTGAATTGAATCAGGGACCAAACCTTCGCACAGCCCTATTAAGGCTCTTCATCTGTTTATGGAAAATATTATAAAGCATGGCATTGCCTGATTGAGTCTTTCTTAAAATGGTGTCAATTAGGAAAACGCAATCAAAATCTGTAGAGTAACATCTGGGTAAAACTGGTGTGTGTGAAAGAAAATGTGGATCCTAGGGAATGTTCCACAATCTTTATTAATCAAAACAACGTAGTGCTGTATATTAGTTTAACCGTTATATTTTAAAGACTAGCATTAAAAATAACACAATGTTTTAAAAAGTCCCCTTTGTCATCCCCTAGGTTACTGGCTTATTGGCTTCTCAGTGGAACATTCCCATGTTTGCATTTGGCCAGACTGCAAGGCTGGATAATACATTTTTGTATGACACCTATGTCAAAGTGGTTTCCCCTCTACAAAGGATAGGGGACGTCCTCCATAAGAGTCTGGAATATTTTGGATGGAAATATGTTGGTTTATTTGGAACTTCATCGGATACCTCTACATGGGATAAAATGGATGAACTGTGGATGTCTGTAGAAAATGAACTCCGAATCAATATCACCATCACTGCTAAGGTTAGGTACAATACAAAAGAGCCAAGCCTCCATCAGGAACACCTCAAGTACATATCATCTGTTGCCAGAAGTAAGTTTTCTACTTCAAGTTTCTATGTTGAAAGGAACTGTCTTAATTAGCAGAGTTTTGCCATATGAAGATACAAAATCACATACACTCACACTGTTTTGGCTTATTCTTCTACAATCATGTCAGCAAGAGAAAATTTGGGGAGCAGAATGAGGATGAGTCAACCTAGAAGGATTAAATCCTAGAAGGATTAAATATTCCTAAATAATCCTAGAAGGATTAAATATTCTCCTAACCCTATCTTTCACATGTAGAGAGAGGGTAGCAACAGATGTCACTTGATGTGCTGCCACAAACATTTTTATGGTGAGCAAAGGCTACCTTGTAGCCTTCTGTGACCAGGTCACGCACTGCCTGGATGCAGGAGCTGAGGCTGATGTCATCTTCCTGGACTTTAGGAAGGCCTTTGACACAGTTTCACACCCTATCCTCATTGGGAAGCTAGCAGACTGCGGAGTGGACGCCTACACGGTCAGGTGGGTGGCCAACTGGCTTAGGGACCGCACCCAGAGAGCGGTGGTGGATGGTTCCTTCTCGGCCTGGAGGGAGGTGGGCAGTGGGGTCCCACAGGGTTCGGTCCTTGGACCAATATTATTCAATATCTTCATCAGCGATTTGGATGAGGGTGTGGAGAGCACCCTCTCCAAGTTTGCTGATGACACCGAGTTATGGGGCAAAGTTAGTACACCGGAGGGCAGGGAGCAGATTCAGGCTGACCTGGACAGGTTGGATCAATGGGCAGAGGGAAATAGGATGCAATTTAATAAAGATAAATGTAAGGTACTCCACCTAGGAAGGAGGAATCCCCAGCACACCTATAGGTTAGGGAGTGTCCTTCTCAGCAACTCGGAGGCAGAGAGGGATCTTGGAGTCATAACTGACTTCAAGATGAACATGAGCTGGCAGTGTAACGAGGCCGTCAACAAGGCCAATCGCACCTTGTCGTGCATTAGCAGGTGCATGACTAATAGAACAAAGGCACTGGTCAGGCCACAGTTGGAGTACTGCGTCCAGTTTTGGGCGCTAGGTGATGCTCCCCCTCTATGCGGCACCGGTCAGGTTGCAGTTGGAGTACTGTGTCCAGTTTTGGGCACCACACTTCAAGAGGGACGCGGAGAATCTGGAGAGGGTCCAGAGGAGGGCCACTTGCATGATTAGTGACCTTCACGATAGCCCCATGGGGGGGGGTTGAGAGAGCTGAATCTCTTCAGCCTTCACAAGAGATGGCTGAGGCGAGATCTTGTGGCTGCCTATAAATTTATTAGGGGAGATCAACGGGGAATAGGGAAAGCGCTGTTTACTAAGGCGCTCCAGGGAGTGACTAGGAATAACGGGTGTAAGCTAGTTGAGAGTGGATTTACGTTAGATATTAGGAAGAAATTTTTCACGGTAAGGGTGGCCAGGATCTGGAATGGGCTTCCAAGAGAGTTGGTGCTATCACCTAGCTTGAAGGTCTTCAAGAGGAGGCTAGATAGTCAGCTGGCTCGGGTCATCTGACCTCAGTCCTCTTTCCTGCCAGGGGCAGGGGGTCGGACACGATGATCCATTGTGGTTCCTTCTGACTCTACAATCTATGAATCTAAGAATCTATGAATAGACGTCCCTACTCTGTCACACCACATCAATGGCCACAACAAAAGACAGTGTAAAATAGTTGTGCTTTATTGAGGTGGACTTCTATTTGCTCTTTGGCGGGAGCAGCCTGGAGCTGCCCACACTCTCCAACCACCCTGGGCAGGTGCTCTGGGGGCTTGAGGGGCCCAATCCTGTGCACCCCAGGAATTCCTAAGCAAAATTGGACCCCTCAACTGCTGGAAGCACCTGCCTGCCTTTCCCCATTTACAGAGATGTGCCCTTTTAAATCTTAGGGTGCCTCTCTGTAAGCAGGGAAAGTTGGGTTTCCATGCTGATGGAAACCTGCCCCAGGTCTACGCAGGTCCCAGCATGGAGGCACAGGACCTGGGAAACCCCTGGCACCTCATGCCTGTATACTGAGACTCACATTGCCCCATGCCTCTACACTGGTACCTGCACATGAGAAGGCACATGTGCCTCACATCAAGGAGGTGAGGAGCAGCACAGTACCAGAGGAATTCCCAGAGCCCTACATCTCCATGCCAGGCCCTGTGCTGACTGCTGCCTCTACGTGCATCGTGGGTCAGTTTGGGGTTGGCATGGATGCCAGCATGGAGGCATGGGAGACTGGGAATTGCCTGAATCCTGCACTGTTCTTGCTAGGACATGCACAGACTCATGTTTCCTGTGGAGGCATGGGTTGATGTAGGTCCCAGTGTAAAGGCATGGGGTGCCAGGGATTCCTTGGGTCCTGTGCTGGAACCCACACTAACCCATGCTTCTGTGGGGCAGTGAGGGGTCAGGGAATCTCTGAGCAAGGGGAACATGTTGCCTGTTGTTCTTCCCTGCCCAAAGCTGAATGACTGTGTATTTTGTCTATCATCACTTCCATTGGCTAAGTCTGTTTCTACCCAGAGAACCCACTGCCCTCAGGTTCCACTCTATACATTGTCTCACAAGGAAACTCAGTATGGCTATATGAGCAAGTCATATTCTCTTATCTTGGAACCGCGCCAAGTTATTCAGACTGCTAGGTATTGCTCTACGCTTGCTTGCCATGTCTTGATGGAATTTGTCTGGGAGGATGGATGTCCTGGCTTGCACGTCCATCTGATCTTATCACAGATCCTTTGCAGGGCTCCAACCTCCCCTATACTCTGCCCCTTTCCTCTCAGATGGATGTTCACTGTTCTCCATGGGTGGTGAACAGAGACAGTCCAGGCCTCTCTCTCTCTCTCTCTCTCTGACCCTCAGCTCATGGTAGCTTCTCTTGATTCCTCCTCAGCTCCTTTGCTCTGAAGAGTCTCCTCAAATCAAAGAAGCACTGTCTCTCTGAGGTCCCTTGGAGTTCTTCCCTTGTAAGTCCTGAGGCCTGCTCCTCAGTCCTCTTCAATTATCCTCTTTGGGGCTTGTAGGTTCCCTTCCCCTTTTCTTTAACTTAAATCAAATTGATGGGCTAAGGGTTCCTTCCCTCCCCTCTCCTTGCTATTACTCCTCCTTAGTGTGGAGGGATTTAAATCAAAGGTAGGGCACCAAGCTGGGTCCTTTCTCATTATATTGTTTTCTAACTCAAAATTAACCAGTACCTCTCTCAGGTCTCATCTCCTCCCTTCTGTGTCTATTCTGCCATTGGCAACATGTCCCTGCTTGGCTCTTCGCTTACCGGCAAGACACCTAGGCTCTATTCTTTACACTAACAGCCTCAGGGTAGCCTCTGTCCCGGTTTGCCACGGAAGCCAGTCCACTTTCATTCACTCCCTTTTCCTCCTTCCTTGGTGGGTTGGCCCAACCACTTCCCATGGGGATTCTTCCCCTGGTTGACCAGCCTGAGCTTTGATGGGGACTGGGTCTCTGTCCTTCCTCCTTTCCCTGGTTACTTATGTTTCTCAGGCAAAAGGCTTGATCTCTCTCTTCATGTCTTGTCTCACTCTGCACAGCTCCTGAGGGTCTGGCATGCTGGACTGCTCCTCCAGGTTCCTCCTCTTTCCTGATGCCTCTGGTCAGGTTTTCTTCCTAGGAATGCCAAACTTCCCTCAGCGTCCTCTCTTTAAAACTGCCTACCACCTGCTGCGGGCCATTCGGGGCTGGTTCCCCAGAGCATGGGTTCCCATCCTCCCAGGATTGCTGGCAGCTGTACTTCCCCAGCTGCTTGAGCTGTACTGCATGCCCGGACCCAGAAAGGTGAGGTCCCTGGTGGGCTGTTTCCGCAGGAGTATGGCAGGGGCTGAGATCCTGTCCCTGCCACAGGCTACAACTGGTAATTAGTCCTTACTGCATATTAATTTTTACCATCACAGTAAGAAACTCTCCAGAAGCCTCAATATGCTACTTCCTGGAATGTGTTTTGCTTTATTATTATTACTATTCTTATTTATTCAGCAGTAAGGCAAAGATGATCAAGGGCTTGGAAGGCAAGTCACATGAGGAGAGGCTGAGGGAGCTAGGCATGTTCAGCTTGCAGAAAAGGCGTTTAAGAGGGGACATTATAGCCGCTGTAAAGAAGAGGGAAAAGTGCTCAAATACTGCAGTAAAGAAGAGGAAAAGCACTTTTTCTCTCCTGCTGCAGAGAGGAGGACACTAATCAATGGCTTAAAGTTACAGCAAAGTAAGTTTAGATTGGCTATCTGGAAAATCTTCACTGTGGGAATAGTGAGGCAGTGGAATAGACGCCTAGGGAAGTTGTGGATTCTCCATCACTGGAGGTGTTTAAGAAGAGGCTGGACAGCCACTGCTCAGGGATGATCTAGGTGTAGCTATGCCTATTTTCTAACATGGGTATTTCCCATGCTTCTAGGCTTTGCTGGTTGTTCCCCCTCCACCTCTCCTTTTTTCTGCTATATGTATCCAGGTATTTTTAAGCCTCCCTAGAGGCATTGAGTATTTGCTACAGCTAAGGCTGGGGATTTCAACTGCAGTGTGCCGATTCTCCTGCTTGGGGCAAAGCCAGAGCTTCCTGGCTAGAGGGTCTTGTCCTTCTACTCGGGGTCAGACCCATTGCCATATTTGGGGTCAGGAAAGATTTTTACTCCATGGTCAGATTGGTATGGACTGTGGGGGGTTTTGCCTTCCTCTGTAGTGGGGGTTGTGGCGCTCTACCTGGGACCTCTTGAGCATACATTGAAAATATTTTATAGAAGCAGGACATTGGCTGTTATGGTTCCCTGGCTTTACCTCTCACTATCTATTGGGAAGGGCACAGAAAACTTTATAAACAATATTGCATCTGTCTATGTAATACAGGAAAGCAACGGCAGTGACTTAAATTATCATCACATTCAATGCAGTTTGTATCATAGTAACATGGGTACTCTGACATAGATCACTCAGGCTAAGGTCAATAAAAATGTACGAAGAAAAGATAATCCCTGTCCCAAAGAACTAAACAGACAAGACACAGATGAGAGAAAGGAAATAACAACACACCTGTTTTTGATTGTGGGAAACTATGTAACACAAGTGAAGTGACTTGCCCAGTGACACAGTATTTCTGGCACAGCCAAATGTTGACATCAGATATCTTGGGTTATTCGTACGACCACAAATGGGATGTTGACTTCTATTTAATGTGGCTGAACTCTTTTTATTCTTATGTTTTATTGTTGATTCAACAATAAAAAAGTGGGGGTCGGGCTAGAAGATCTATTAGGTCCCTTCCGACCCTGAAACTATGAAACTATGAAACCAAATACAGTCACAGGTCTACAGACAAGTAGCAAATAAGATAGCTTAGAATACAACATTGATTTTTTTTTCCAGCCTGAAATGAAATTCATTGTAGTAACTATCAACTACTGTGGGGAAATGATCTAAAAGCAGTGGACAACACACTGGTGACAATTTATATGTCTAGTTTACTTCACTGGTTCATAAGAAAAAGCAATTTATACAGAGATGTTCTTTTTAAGTAGCTCTTTGGCAGCTAGTACTTTTCCATATACAATAGATTTCTAATGTAGACCAGGTTCTATGGGTAAGGGCTTGTCTACAGATTTCTCCCAGAGACAAAGGTTAAATCTGAATGTTGCAATGAACAGGGAATTAATAGGGATGATTGGGAAATTTCAAATAAAATGTTTTCCCAATAGAAATGGAAGTTTATCCATGTTAAAAAAAATGGAGTGAATGAATGGAATAGTTTGGGTCAGTGTTAACATTTGTTTCCTCCTGAAATTCCCTAGTGCCTTGTGGGGGATACAGGTCCAAGTTTTTCATGCTCTTCTTTTTCCCATTGAGCTTAAATGTCTGGCTGACCTGCTTCCCATAATATGTTCACACGCAGTTGCTTTGCCACCATGATGTGCCTTGGAAAAGGAGCCAGTGGTGTCATAAGCGACCCCTAGAACTAGAGTCCCTGAGGAGGAACTGCAAGGACTGAGCTGTATGCAGACACTAATATGGGACCCAGATGAAATGAAGTATTTGAGCAGACAGTGAAATGTCAGGATTGGGGGCATTGAAACACTGCCATCAAGTGAAATGACACTTTTGAATAATCAAAAATTTTGGAGTGTTTTGTTTACAAAAAGGGTTTTTTTTCATATATAAAACTTCTGTCGTTGTTCAGAAAGGAAGCAAATGTCAATATATATTAGAATATCTGATTACTTGATTTCTGATATTTCTTATATTCTTCCCTTATGGCCCAGTTTTTTAGGTCATCATGTTATCTGCCCTTTTTGAGAGCAACCTCTTCTATGCTTAACTGTGACTCTCAGAAGCATTTACTTGCATGCTGTTGTCTATGGACAAAGTGTCCTTCCTCTCTATGGTCTAAGAGCCAAGTCATCCAGTGCTCAGGTTAGCTACTTGAGCTGTCCACCGACAAACGGCTTTTCCTATATGTGTAACCAAGGCACTTGAGTCATACTGTGAATTTAATTTGTTCTCAACAATTACCTAAGGACTTCCCCTGCCAGTTAATAAACAGCCTCTGTCTTTAACCGCATCTGAGATCCTGGTGACAGTATGTTTCAGTAGTTCCTTGAGGTACAATTAAGTACACTATATTCATTGGTTCATGAAAGCTTAGCTAATAAACAATAATTTTCACAGGTCAGGGAAGAGGAGAAATCATCGTTAAAAAATGACAAGCATTTGAGGACTGGTTTATTTTTTTTATTGAAATAATTTTTACAAACGCTTTTCAGAAAAAAAAATAGTCAAAATGTTCTAGGTTTCCTACAAGAATAATAATGGAAAAATGTGTTAAATAGAAGGGAATGGAATTTTAATTAATACTATTGGGTTTTGAAAAATAGTATCTTATTGCTGTTCATACAAAATTTTACCTAGAAAAATTTGAAAGACCAAATTTTTATGTTTAGAGTTTGAGAAACTGAATAACTTTTGGGGGGTGAATTATGAAGAATTAAATGTTTAAAAAATCCATTAAGCCAATTAAACACATTTTTTTTATTGATCACATCAACGCATCTGATGCAAGTTTTTTTTTTTTATTTTGGGAACGGTTACAGAGACCTTCTCCAGTTTAAAACCTGCTGGCTAGAGAAGCATTGGATTTATGAAGCAAAGTGCATACAACGTTTTTCTCCTTTGCACCCAGGATGTGCCTGTAGATTGAAATAATTTAATAGCAGTCTGTGCTGGATCTTTAGAACAAGCTACAGGGCTTGGGTGTTGCAGTTCAAGTATTTTCTTTTTCACTCATAAGGGGAAAGCGAGGGTTATCAAAGGCTGACATTCAGCTTCCAAACCTTTACCAGATAACATCATTAACAATGAGGAAGTACACTCAGGTAGGCAAATCACATTAGAAAAGTATGGAAAACTGAATTCAGTTGCTGTACACAACTGTTGGCCTACCTACAGATTTCAGCTGGATAACTTCCATGCACCTCTCTGAATGTGCAAAGATGATCTTTCTTATCTTTTCTGTTATCGTTGCCCTTAGCCCCAAGAGTGTCCTAAAAATGTGCTCTTTTTTCTCCTTCGGAGTGCTACAGACCAACAAGATGTAGGGTAAGGACTTTGCTTTTATCTGCTTACTGTAGATTAGGACTTTGCTTTTACCAAGGAGATAAGTGTCCATACATGAGTTTAGAAATACAATAGACTTTGACATAAATCCTGCTGACACAGGCCAATATATGACTGTAAGAACACATGCTGGAATATGAAATTACTGCCCACTTGGAGCTGCATTGGAGATGTAATTATACTGTAAATTACAATAAATGTACTTATCAGTAAAGGATCAGAAAAAGGATGGAACAGTTTAATCAGGGTTGATCCTGCCTTGAGCAGGGAGTTGGACTAGATGAGAAAGTTCCAGCCCTACTTTCCTATGATCTTGGCTCCTTTGCTGAGATCCATCAGCATAGGCAGTGGGCGGGGAACTAACAGGGCTTAGACCCCCCCAAAAACGGGGCAGCAGTGGGGCGGGGAGGGAGGCAGCCCAGCCGTGGCCTTCCTGCAGCTGCAGGAGGAGTGGGGAGAGGTGCCTGCAGGCAGCAGTAAGGGAAGGAGTGGGGCT